GCTGCAGTAAGGCGTGCGGGGGGCAGGCGAAGGGCTCTGGGGCATCCGCGTTTAGCAGAAGGGTGACGGGGGAGCTCGGCTCCCGTCTCTTTCTCTCGTCCGTTACCGCTCAAGGCAGAGCAATCAGTAACTCTGGGCAATGGAAGCAAGGCGGCGGAACGTGCTGCTGATGGAAAGTCGCTGGCTCATCTGGAGGGCAGGGGCTGGCACAGGCTGCAGGGAGCTGAGCTGCCTTGCACTGGGGTCCCGGCTCCGCAGGGCTGGGGAGGTTGGTGCTTGGAGGGTAGACATCCCCCCCCCGGCAAAGAGCCTGGTGGATACAAGGGGGGTGGCTGACCCCGGTGTCCCAGGGAGCTGCGGTATTTCAGGGGAGGCGTAACCCCTTGCGGCTGGTGAGGATCCTGAGGCACTTTCAGCTAGTGTCAGGGGGTTAACCCCCCTCTCCAGCCTGAACGCTGACCTGCATAGTTACCTTCTACCCTACCCCTGCACATTCTCTTCTATGTCCCAGCCTGGTCTACATGGCTGTTAAACAGCTGCTGCGTTCCACCCCAGAGATGGCTGCATGCTAGTGGTGAGTGAATGGGTCCTATATAAACAGCTGCTGCGTTCCACCCCGGAGGTGATTGCATGTTAGTGAGTGGATGAGCCCTATATAAAGAGCTGCTGCGTTCCACCCCAGAGGTGGCTGCATGCTAGTGGTGAGTGGATGAGCTCTATATAAAGAGCTGCTGTGTTCCACCCCAGAGGCAGCTGCATGTCAGAGGGGGGCTGAAGTAAAGAGAGCTGTAGCAGTAAGGTCACTCTCAGAGGCTTTGAGAGGTTTTGGTTATTAACAACACCGGGCTCTGCTCAGTCACCCTGGAATGGCACCAAACACCCTCCTCCTCTTGCTGCAGAAGGCCCTTGAGTCGGGCCCAGGCCCCACACTGGGGAAGGCTCCCCAGGAGCCGCTCTATTCGCCTGGCTCTGGGAGCAGTGACAACAGCTGGTCCTCGACTGACTCCTGGTTAGAAGGTCACATCAGCGACAATACCCTGGGGCACCCCCCTCAGGGCTCCCGCCCTGCTGACTTAGCAGGGATCAGACGCCGTGCTCACGCAGAACTGCTCACCCCGCTGCTCCGGCCCTGCCAGCCCCTGCTCACATGAATTCAGCCTCATGGGCACCCTGCGAGGGAGAGGCGTCCAGGGTCACCGTCAGCTCTCCGCTTGGCCCATGGCTTACACCCGGGACGGATTCGGCCCATGTCCCTCACTTGATGGCCGGGGAAGCGAAGGTGCAGAGGGCGGCAGAGGCCAGGCCACACCCTGAGTCAGGGCTTGTTCACATGGGAACGTTATCCCGGTGTCAGGGCTCGTCCACACGACGGATGCTAGCGCGGCCCAGCGATGGCGCTGTAGCCCCGTAGTGCGGATGCTTCCTACGGCGGCAGACGGGGTTTCCCTGTTGCTGTAGGAACCAGCCGCGGAGCGGAGGACTGTGGATTTTTCCCCCCCCCCCCCCCGAGCTATGTCGACCTGCATTTTACATGTAGCCCAGGTGTGAATTCAAACCGTGCTAGCTATAACCGACGGGGGGACGCTTTATCCCAGGACGAGGGGCTTTTTTTCCGGTTTAGCATAATCCCTTTCCAAAGTGATAGATGCCAAGCCTAAAAGAGATACAGGCTTCCGGTGTCTCTCTAGTGGTTTAAATACTCATCTTATCTCATACTGGTATAACTTTCTCATACAGCCAAGCAGTCAGCAAGAGAATCCAGGCGTCCTGGCGCCCCATCCCCTGCTCTAACCACTAGACCACACTCCTCTCCCAGAACCAAGACTGGAACCCAGGAGTCACAACTCCCAGCCCCTTCTGCTCTAACCACTAGACCACACTCCTCTCCCAGAACCAAGACTGGAACCCAGGAGTCCCAACTCCCAGCCCCTTCTGCTCTAACCACTAGACACCACTGCCTGCCTGCAAGCTGGGAACAGACGCCAGGACTCGTGACTACCATTTATCGGTTCTAACCGCTAGCGAAAACTCTCCTCCCAGAGCCAATAGAACCCAGGAGTCCTGCATCCCAGTCCCGGGCGCTAACCATTAGCTCACAACCCCACCACTGATTTTCCAGGCAGTATATATCGGGGGGGGGGGAGGAGGGGTGATGAGTCGTTTTTTCTGAGAGGTGGGGGAGGTTCCCCTGAAATCGTCCCCTCTGATCCTCCAGTACCCTGCTGGGTTGGTGACTTTACCCAGGGCTCGGAGCTGCGAGCAATCGGTGGCCTTCCCCCTGCCCACCCTGGTGCCAGTACTGACTGGATAAGGCCAGACAAGCCTTTCATCTGCGGGGGGGGGGGGGGGAGATAATCTGGCTGCTTTTCGCGACCCATTTCCGCTCACTCCAGAGCCTGCTTCCGAGCCCTCGCTGCAATTTGACGGTTATTTTCTCGCCTTCCCCCCTGCCAGGAGCAGCGCCGTCTCGCTGCTTGGCTTTGGTTTTATAGCTGCTTGTGTGTCTGGCTGGTTTTTTTAAACAGACATTAGTGCTAATGCCCCAATCAGCTTGGCTTTTAAAAGCCATTTCGGCTCTGGCCCTTCAGCTGTCTCCCAGGCAAAAGGCATCCGTGCCTTCCCTCTCCAAAGGGGTGGGCGCATTTGCTTCTCTTCGGCCTGTGAGTTCTGCAGAAGGGATGGACTGACAGCGCTGGAGCCTGTCCTACCTCAAGCCTCAGGTGGGGGAAGGCATCAGAGCTCCACCGTCTTTGAGCCAGGACTCCTGGGTTCTGCTCTGGGTCCCTGCCTTAGGTTAGGGGTTAGAGCGGGTGTCAGGACTCCTGGGTTCTCTCCCAGGCTCGGGGAGGGGGGGAGGTGCAGCCCAATGCCTAGAGGGGGGTGGGGGACTGGACTTCAGAGGAGCTACCCCAGTCTTTACCAGCTGCGGATCTGTCTGTGCAGCACAATTCCCCAGCCCCCGAATCCTGATGGCTCCTTCCCTGCTGGCACTAAGGGAGCAGCGGCAAGTGCCAAGCGCTCGCTCTGAGTTCAGCGGGCAGAGGGCAGGACACTGGGGCAGCGGGGCCAATGGTCCCACTGACTGCAGAATGGACACCGGGCAGATCCCGGTTCTAACCACCTCCCACCCAGCGCCTGGAACAGAACCCAGGAGTCCTACTCCTGCTGGGGACACGGGGTGGGACTGGCTCTGCTACTGATTCCCTCTGGGACCCTGGGCAAGTCCCGGCCTCTCTTTGGGCCTGTTTCCCCATCATGACACTGGCTCTGCTGCGTATGGCCTGGGGGATCGAGGGGAGACAAGCTAAGGATGAGCCGCTCCGTGACACAGACATGTACGCACCGCTCACCACACGGGTGCACACCTCCCACCGACACACACACACACACACACACACACACACACAAACACACACACACAGAGCGCCCTGTGCACACGCCTCACACACACACACAGAGCACCCTGTGCACACGCCCCCCCACAGCACCCTGTGCACACGCCTCACACACACACACACACACACAAACACACAGCACCCTGTGCAAACGCCCCCCACAGCACCCTGTGCACACACCTCACACACACACACACACACACAGCACCCTGTGTACACGCCTCACACACACACACAGAGCACCCGGTGCACACACCTCACACACACACAGAGCACCCTGTGCACACGTCCCCCCACAGCACTCTGTGCACACGCCTCTCACACACACACAGCACCCTGTGCACACACCACCCCCACAGCACCTGTGCACACCCCTCACACACACACACCACCCGGTGCACACGCCTCATACACACACAACACCCAGTGCACACACCTCACACACACACAAACACACAACACCCTGTGCAAATGCCCCCCCACAGCACCCTGTGCACACACCTCTCACACACACACACAGAGCACCCTGTGCACACACCTCACACACACTCAGAGCACCCTGTGCACACGTCCCCCCACAGCACCGTGCACACACCTCACACACACACACACACACACACACAGCACCCTGTGCACACGCCTCACACACTCACAGAGCACCCTTTGCACACACCTCACACACACACACACACACACAGAGCACCCTGTGTGCACACGCCTCACACACACACAGAGCACCCTGTTCACATACCTCACACACACATAAACACACACACACAACACCCTGTGCACCCCCCGCTTCCCTCCTCCCCCGCCGGTTCACACAGCTCTCTCTCTTTCTCACACACAGAGCACTATAGCCGGGTGGGAACTCTCTCTCCTGACCCATGACAATTTTCAGGATTTCAGAACGACCCGTGTGGCCTGGGGCTAACCCCGTGCCCTTTTGCCATTCTTCACGAAAACCCAGTCAGCGAGAGCGGCCCCGCCCCTCCCCAGAACAGCCAGCAGCCCAGGGATCGGGGCTGTCGCCTGGGATGCAGGAGTCCTAGGTTCAGAGCAGGGATCTCCCTGTGCCAGGTGACAGCGGTGAGCACCGGGCGATTGGCTCCTCTGGGGCGGGAGGCTCTCTCACTCTAGGTATTTCTCTCCCCCAGCACGTGAAATCCCAGCCTGGCCCAGAGAACGTCCCGCGCAAACTTGCAAAAAGTTTCAGTTTCTGATGAAAAACCTGCTGCGTCACCTAATCCCCGCCCCGGTCCAGCAGCATCCCCACCTGCGGTGGCGTTCACCGCCCCTCCTGCAGCATCCAGTGACGGGACACTGGGCTAGACGGGCCCTGAGTCCAGCCCCACACCGCTTTCATACCCTGACCCCCGATCCTGTCCCTCTCCTTGCACACCAGGGGTTATGCACTGCCCGCTCCCCACACCGAACACCACTGAAAGGGAGAGAGCAGGTTATTCTCCACTTGCAAACAGGTGCCATGCTCCCGCGGGTTAATCCTCGCTCTGGGGAACCACAGCCGCCACAGCCCCGGGGCTTGAGTTAATGGTGCTGGTGACAGCCCGTCGTGCAGCTCCGCGCGGGCACATCCCCTCTTACCCTGAGTGTTTACAGCCACGCGTAAGGTGGAGCGTGGGTCCCCGGCGCCAGGGGCGGGCCGGGTGTCTCGGGCCGTGCCCGCCTGGGTACGGCCCGTGGGCGCCGGGAAGGGCGCGGCACTGGCGGTGGGGCCCGCGGGTCGGACTTGCCCTGCGTTACCGGCGACAAAGAAAAACGTCAGGGGGACGCAGCAGGCTGGTGATGGCAGCATGAGCCTGCACCCTTGCGGGATCCGGGTAGGGGTCCCCCTCCAACCTGCTGGAGGGCTGGATCACCCCGCTCCACCTACTGCATTATTACCAGTGACTCCCAGTGCCGGCACAAGGGGTCAGAGGCCAGCGGCAAACCAGGTAGCCCAGCACCCCCTGTTGGATGGTAAAATACCCCCTCCCGGATCCATCTCACTGGTGTCTGCAACAGGAGTCCTACAGACCAACGCTGGCTCTGCACAGAGCATACGCAGGGAGAGCTTCCCCGACACCCTGCCCCGCTGCCCATGGGCCTGGGCCCTGCCCTGGAGAGACCCCCCTTGAGGGAGCGGGAAGGAGGAGCTCACTCGCTGGGCTCCATTCAGTCCTGGCCCCATTGATCACTGCAGGGTGGGCCTAGGTGCAGAGAGCCCAGGGCTGGGCTAGCAAGGGGCTGCGGGTCGGGATTGAGGGGCACCGGCAGAGCTGTGGGTGGGGTGGGGGAAAGCCCAGCACTGCCCAGGAGGATCTTGCAGGGCACCTGCGCATGCCGTGCCCGGTTCCGTGTACAGAGCAGCCGGCGTGGGCCCTACGCTCAGAGCCTGGGCCCAGCACCTCACTTGCTACGGCGCCGCGTGGCCGGCCCTGTGTCCTCAGCCCCAGTCCAGAGGGGTGAGAAGATGAGAAAGAGAGAAACCAACCCTGCACTCTGCCCCAGGCCGCGGCTCTTTGTGACGCTCCAAAGGACAGATTCAGCCCCCACCCCATGCCAGGGGGCATCGCCCGCCGCAATCTAACCCCTCTCTTCAATAAACCCAGCTGCCCCTTCCTGGCTGCTTTCGAACAGTGACTACGCACACAGCGGTCTGGCCCTGCTTTCTCCTCCAGACCTAGCCCTTGGGGAGGACAGGTCGGGTCCTGGCTGCCTGGGGGCTACGAGGAATTCTGCTGCTGCCCACAGAACCAGGATCTGGCCCGCTGTATTCGCAGCACGACCTTAGGGGTGAGAGCCGCCATGGCGGGGCCTGACTCGAGCTGTGCAGCACGGCTGGTGAGGGAGCCATTGGGTTCCCAACCTCTCTCCAGAGCTCTGGGGATCAGTGGCTCCGTCCCTGCCCTGGTGGAGAGGGCTGCGGGACATTCTGAGTGACGATGAGCAGAGATGGCGGGTGGGGTGATGAGAGGTGACGGGGTTAGCGATGGCGGCTAGGGGACCCGGTTAGTGTCGGTGTGGATGGTGACAGACTAGCAACGCAACTCCTGGCACCCATGGAGGGCATCCTCTGCCCTCTCTCCATTTTGCCACCTTGCCAAGCCTCACTGGCTGGTGAGCATTTTGTCTGGGCGTGGTCGGGCCTGGTGGGAGCCATCTTTGGACACCAGGCTTCAGCAGACCCGGACTCCCAGAGCAGGAGACACCCGGCCTGGCCCTGAGGGAGCTTATCGCTGTCCCAATAGGATGGTGAGGGGGATTCGTGGAGGGTGTTACCCTTACCCAACAGGAAGCAATGGTGGTACTGCAGACAGGGGGGTCCTGGCCAGTGGCACAATGCTAATACTCTGCGGGGGTCAGGGGATTCCCAACATGGCATCCTCATGGAGTAACCAAACATGGTGTCACCAAGGGGCATCCCAACATGGCGTCCCCATGAGGTGTTCCAACATGGCATCCCAACATGGCGTCCCCATGAGGTGTCCCAACATGGCGTCCCAATATGGCATCCTCATGAGATGTCCCAGTGTAACGTCCCAACATTACCCTGAGGTTCCCCAACATGGCGTTGCCAAGGGTTATCCCTTGGTTATACCAGTATTTGGTCCTGCCATGCGGGCAGGGGACTGGACTCGATGACCTCTCGAGGTCCCTTCCAGTTCTAGAATCTATGAATCTATGAATCCCCATGAGATGCCCCAACATGACATCCCAATATAGAGTCCTCATGGGGCATCCCAACATGGGCTGTCTCACTGTCCTGTCCCCACAGACTGTCTCAATACGGCGTCCCAGCATGGTGTGCTCATGGGACGTCCCGATGTTGGGGTCTCAGTGGAACTGGGACAAGCCCTCTGTGTTGTAACGCACCCTCAAACTCTCCCCGGCCCCGGGGTGGGGGATGAGAGCAGAACCGCAATGAGTCGTAAACCATGTAGGGCCCGTCCCTCCCCGGGGCTTTGGGGGGAGACGTCACAGAGGGTTGGGGGTGAGGGATCTGGGGGGCAGCAGGGTTGACGGGAGGGTGAAAGCGAGGGGGGGGTTCACTGACCATACGATGAGTCACTGGCACTGTTGTGATTCCCCGTGGAGGTCACGGCATCTACGGAAAGGAGAAGAGAGAGGGAGCTAGATATCAACCATGAACCAAATGGGGAGAGGGGGCAGGAACGGGGAGACTGCAGCAGAGCTGGGGGGAATGTCAGGGTGGGAAACTACAGGGCAGGGGAGGGGGGGTTCAGGGATTCATCCAACCAGGCCAGCACCTGGTCCACCCGCTGCCTGCGTCTGAGCAGCACCCACCGGAGTGACGCTGCTAAGGGTCTGGGTGGGTCCCAGCGTTCCCAGCCAGGGAGGCCTGGAGCTCGGTTTGCAAGCTGGGGCCCTTGTGGGTTCAGGTCATGGGGCTTTTAGCAAGAACTGCCCCCATGGTCACAGCTCTGGGTCACCACCAGGTGGGAACCAGAGCCCGGGAGGTGACAGGCCCCACGCTACCAGCACCCTAGAAAGGCAAGTCCCCATAGCCCACTCCTAGCTCCCCTTAGCCAGCCAGTGCCCTGGCCTGGGCCCAGCTCGGCACTAGCCTCCTAGCAGCGAAAGGCCCCATACCCCCTTCCTTGCCTCCCGGATCCCTCCAGTCCCCCCGGGATGGAAACACGAGGATTTTCCCTCCTAGAATCCAGCTCCAAATTTTGCATCTCTCCACAACAGGCAGAACCCGGCCCCCCGCCGGCCCCACACCTGCGAGATGACAGGGGGCTGCAAACCGGATGGGGATTTTTCCTTTTCGCAATTTAAAGAGGCTCAATGATGAAGAAACCATGATGGCGGCTGCCTCCTCCTCTTTCCTCAGATGAAGTTCACGCTCCCACGCAACAGCCATTCGCCCGCCGCCAGGCTGCCAGAGCCGGGCCTCCGGGGGCACACGGCCACTTTTGTTCTGCTTGGCCAGGGCTGTTTTATGGGCAGCCCGGGATGCTGACTCATCCCGTTTCTCCTCCGCGGAGACCCCCAGCGCTTCCTGCCCCTGCAGCTGCCGCTGCTGGGGGGAGGCGGCCCTGGCCCCACTTACCTTGACAGCTCCCCGGCTGCTTGGCCGCGTTCTCAACATCTTGTTCGAATCCGGCCCTGGAAGGAAACCAAGGGAGACCGCGGTGAAGGAGCCTGTCGCCTCGATTAGACCCTCTGCTCGTTAATGGGGGCTCCAAGAAAATGATACAGAGATAAAATTAGAGGCAAGAGACCCCCTCCCCCGAAGCAGCCCCCCCGAACCCCAGCCGTCGCTCTGCTCGGAGGAGCCTGACGTAATGTCTTCCCTTGGCTGGTTAGTTGGGTTGATGTCAGATGCAATTTACCGCATGGATGTTTAGGGTCTTAGACTCGTGGCAAAGGTAGGAGGGAGTCGGGGAGGGGGGGAGGGGGAAAGCAGGGAAGGCCATCAGGAAGGAGCTAGAGTGAAGAACCCAGGAGATCTGGAATTCAGGTGACAGGCGGTTAGGAGAGGGCTCTTCCACCCTGCCCCCTACAACCTGGGCTCAGAGGCAAATGAGGCTCAATAAAAGGACCCCCCCCACACTGCTCTCGTTCACACTATCACCCCCGCCCCCAACCCTTCTGGATGCAGGGTCACCGCATGGCAGAACCGGGCTGCTCCCAGGTCCACACTCCCCCGCCCCCGGCATTAAGGTTTCCACTTCGCAAACAACATACAGCCTGTGGCTGCGATGGGCTAGTGGGGTCATGAGGACCCCATAAAACATCCCATATGGAATAGACAGTGTCTCCACGGAAGTGTGATGTAGTGGTTAGATCAGGGGGGACTTGGCGTCAGGACGCCTGGGTTCTGCTCCTGGTTTGGGAAGGGGAGTGGTGCCCAGTTGTTAGAGAAAAGGGAACTTGGAATCAAGACTCCTGCGTTCGAGTCTCTCCATTCATTCCAGGCTCTCGTGCCTCAGTTTCCCCATCTGTGAGATGGGGGCGCTTGCCTAGACCTATCTCTTTTGGGGCTTACAGAACAGGTGAGATGGGGGGTGACCCACACTGAGAGATGTTCAGCTCAGAAGGCTTCACCCTCATCATCTAGTTTTACCTCCTGGCTGTCCGCCAGCCATAGGACTTCCCTGAATTAATTCCTAGTCCGAGTTGAACGCGAGCAGGTCTTTTAGAAAAGCAGCTGGTCTTGATCTGAAAAGGTCCAGCGAAGGAGGGTTCCTGGCACCGCTAGGTCATTAGCTGGGCCAATGGTTAATAACCCTCGCTGTTAATGTGTCTAGCTTGACCTCCCAGCTGTTGGGTCGTGTTGGATGGAAGAGCCCTCTATTATCAAATTTCTGTTCCCCTCTAGGTACCACTAGACTGTGATCAAGTCACCCCTCAATCTGCTCTTTGTTAAGCTAAACAGATTGAGCTCCTTGAGTCTCTCACTATCAGGTTTTCCAATCCTCAATCTCGTGGCTCTTCTCTGACCCCTCTCCAAGAGGGAGGGAGTGTACATAAGACAGGGACACAATGAGGGGTGGGATCCAGGTGGCCCCTGACCAGACGACTGAAGGCCGGATGGACCTGCTCTGAGAGCATGGCATAGCTACCTGGCACACAGAGTCACAACGCCTGGTTTACACTAGGTCGACCCAACTATGGAACCGCTCAGGGGTGTGACCGATGTGGTTCAGACTTTGCTAGACCCATGGAAGAATTCTCCCTCCCACCTAGCTACTGCTTCTCGGGGAGGCGGATTAACGACAGGGATGGGAGCCCTGCCGATGTCGATACTGAAGCATTTCACCGTAAACCATCTAACACCCAATGCGCAGTATGATCCCAGGAACTGACAGACCAGCAGCCTTGATTTCTGTCCTTCCCCCACTATCAAACCGCTCGGACCCTTTCCAGAGCCGACCAGACAATCCCCTTTCGAGGCGCAGAAATGTATTGTCCTTCTGCCTGGGACGGAAGCCAAGCCTCTCTGACTGTTTTTGCCAAAGAGAGGAGTTGAAATGTCCAAGGATGTGAGGCCAGTGGCCGGGGCCGGGGGAGTCCCTGCTCTGCCTGGGTCAAAGCTGAATTTTTTGACCCGGGGCACGCTGCTCCAGGAAGAATCTGGCTCTTCCCCCAGGCTACAGAACACGACTCTCCCCCTGCTCCAAAACCCGCTTCGTCGCAGCCTGTCTCAAAACATTTCAGCTTCCGTGAAATTTCAGTTCATAAAATATGTTCCTACCAGCTCCCCCTTCCCCCTCTCCTCCCGGCCCCGCACGGGCTGGGTTTCAAGGGTTCCTTTCTAACACCCAGATCTGGCGGGTCTCCCAAGGCAGGCCGAGGACCCAGGCCGAGGACCCAGGCGTCCGGGGGCCGCAGGAGCTGCCGTGGCTGAGCCCAGCCGCCTGTGTAGCGGGGGAGTGGGGGTTTGTCCCAAGCTTTCTCAGGGACGGAGCCTTTCGTGCGTCCCTCGCTAGGCGCCCTGTTCTGCAGCTTCAGAAGGCGGCATGCTGGGGAGCCCTCTGGCTAGTGCCACTGCGTCTCCATCTCCGTGCGTGTTCCCAGGCATAACCGAACCCAGAGCCCAACATTTCCCGGGCAGCTGTTCCCCAGCACAAGATCCTAATCAGATGCAGCTGGGAGGCACGGCTGTACTGCCGCCGAGCTCCATACACCCTAGGAGCCGGTTTATTTGTGCTGCGGCCCTAATGAGGCTAATTACAGGTTTCCTGCCCTGTGGTTCTCTCATGGTCCCCACGCAGGTGTCTTCTCCAGCAGAGGGCGCTCTGGAGCACACGCCTACTGGGTCCTGGCCAGCCAGGGTGATGGGGGAACCGGGAATTGAAGGGAACGGCTGGCACAGGGCAGGGCCCGAGGGAAGTTGCTGCATGGACACATGCACAATGCTCACGGCTAGCTCTGCCGTGGCACGGCGGCACTCAGCTTGCTCCTGCAAGACGCCCGCTTAGCGCATACGACTCTGTCTCCCTCTAATGGTCAGCCTGGCAACTGCACCAGCTCACAGAGAAAGGCGCCACTGCCCCCAAGAGGGGTGGAGCGAGGCAGCTTTGGCATCGGTCGGTGCCCAGCACCCTGGGCATTACACTTCCCAAGGGGACCCAGCCGCTGGGCATTCCCAGGAGGGTGGGGCTGGGGAAGGGGAGCTCTGCTAACCATCTTTGCCAGCACATGGGCCTCGGGCCTGGTTCTCCAGAGCCAGGCATGGATAGCACAGGCGGGTACACAGAGCAGGGTGCTATCAGATGGCACCGGCAGCCTGTCACACCCACTGTGCGCTGGGGAAAATGACTGTGCAATCAGGGAACAGGCACGCGCCAGCTGTGAGAACCGGATCACACTCGCCACAGCTGTGTGTGTGTGTGTGTGTTACACCCTCGCTGACGGGAAGGGGCTTTCCTCACTGGCACCCTGGGGACTCAGCTTGGGGAGAGCTATCCGTGCAATCTGTACTGCCGAGCTCCGTGGGATAGGAGCCGATTCAGACGGTGCAAGAGCGACGCGAACTGAGCCCAAGAGTTGGCAGTGGCAGAGAGGCCGACCTCGCCGGCCGGAGACGCAGAGGAGAGACCCTGTGTGAAGGAGACAGACGCAGAGCGGTGGGAGAGGACAGGAGAATCTGAGCTGGACTCTGCTGCCCTGAAGTGGGGGTGAAAGGCCACTGTCCTGATTTGACTGGTGCGAATGAGCGCACACCAGGTGGGCAATGTGTAACAGGCTCAGGGAGTGGTGCAGTCGGCGGGGCAGGGCAGCTAGTCAGGGACATACGGTAAATTCTTCCATCCCCCAGCTGAGTTGTGTCAGAGCACATTTGAAACCCGTATCTGGTTTGCTTCAACAGCCGTCCCTTGTGCTGGGCGCAGACACTGACCGGGGGCTGCAGACCCCTGAGAAATTCCCCGCCCCTCCCAATCTCTAACCAGAGCCACTCACCTGATTTCTTGTCCAAAAGCCACACACGCTCCCGGCCGGAGCCAGACACAGTATGGATCGCGGGAGGCCAAGCAGCTCCTGTGGTGGATTGGGAAGCAGATCAGACACAGAAATGCAGGGCTGGATGGAACCTTGACAGGTCAGCTGATCCAATCCCCTGCACCGAGGCAGGACTAAATATTATCTAGACCATCCCTGACAGGGGTTTGTCCAACCTGCTCTTAAAAACCTCCAATGACGAGATTCCGAAACCACCCTAGGTAATTTGTTTGAATGCTTAACTATCCTTAAAGTTAGGAAGTTTTTCCTAATGGCTGACCTAAATCTCCCTAGCTGCAATTTAAGCCCATTGCTTCTTGTCCTATCCTCAGGGGTTAAGGAGAATAATTTATCACCCTCCTCTTTATCACAACCTGTTACCGACTTGAAGGCTGTTATCATGTCCCCGACTCGGTCTTCTCTTCCTCCAGACTAAACAAACCCAATTTTTCTAATCTTTCCTCGCAGGTCAAGCTTTCTAGACCTTTAATCATTTTTGTCACTCTCCTCTGGACTTTCTCCAATTTGTCCACATCTTTCCCGAAGCGTGGCGCCCAGAACTGGACACAATACTCCAGGTGAGACCTTATCAGCGCCGAGTAGAGCGGAAGAATTACTTCTTGTGTCTTGCTTACAACCCTCCTGCTAATACAGCCCAGAATGATGTTCGCTTTTTTTGCCACAGTGTTACATTGTTGACTCATATTTAGTTTGTGATCCGTTATAACCCCCAGATCCCTTTCTGCAGTCCTCCTTCCTAGGCAGTCATTTCCCATTTTGTATGTGTGCAACTGATTGTTCCTTCCTAAGTGGAGTACTTTGCATTTGTCCTTATTGAATTTCATCCTATTTAATTCAAACCATTTCTCCACTTTGTCCAGATCATTTTGAATTTCTAATCCTGTCCCCGAAAGCGCTTTCAACCTCTCCCAGCTTGGCACGGTCCACAGACTTTATAAGTGTACTCGCTGTGCCATTATCCACATCTGTTATGAAGATATTGACTAGAACCAGAGCAAGGAGAGATCCTGGTGGGACCCCATTCGATATGTCCCTCCAGCTTGACTGCGACCCATTGATAACTACTCTCGGAGTACCCTTTTCCAGCCTGTTGGGCACCCATCTTAGAATAAGCTATATTTCTCTAGTTCATTTACGAGACGGTCATGTGAGACAGTATCGAAAGCCTGACTGAGGTTGAGATATATCGCATCTACCGCTTCCCCCCATCGACAAGGCTAGTTATCCTACCAGTGAAGGGTATTAGGTTGGTTTGACATGGTTTGTCTTGACTGTTACTTATCATCTTATTTTCTTCTAGGTCAGGAGTAGGCAACCTATGGCATGCATGCCGAAGGCGGCACACGAGCTGATTTTCAGTGGCACTCACACTGCCCGGGTCCTGGCCATCGGTCCGGGGGGCTCTGCGTTTTAATTTAATGTTAAATGAAGCTTCTTAAACATTTTAAAACCTTATTTATTTTACAGACAACAATAGTTTAGTTATATATTATAGACTTAGAGAAAGAGACCTTCTAAAAAGGTTAAAATGTATTACTGGCACGCGAAACCTTAAATGAGAGTGAATAAATGAAGACTCGGCACACCACTTCTGAAAGGTTGCCAACCCCTGTTCTAGGTGTTTGCAACTCGACTGTTTAATTATTTGCTCCATTATCTTTCCAGGTACCACAGTTAAGCTGACTGGTCTGTAATTCCCTGGGTTGTCTTTAGTCTCCTTTTTACAGCTAGCTACTATGTTCACCCTTTTCCAGTCCTCTGGGATCTCTCCCGTCCTGCACGAGTTCTCAAAGATAGTCACTAACGGCTCACAGATCTCTTCAGCCATCTGCTTAAGTAATATGAATGGTAGCAGCCTGGACGGGGCTAGCCAGCCTCATGCTCCAGGGCAAAATCAGATCATCCTCTGAGGGCCAGGAAGGAATCCCCCACTTCTGCCCCCAGGGGTAGTTAATGCTCATGTGGGGGGTGGTTTACCTGCCTTCAAAACAGCTGGCATGGGACATTGTCAGGAAACCAGACAAGATTGATCACGGGTGTGTTTTGGGGCCTGATTCTGCCTTCACTTATGGCCCGATCCAAGGCCAGTGAAGTCAGTGGGGGAACGTCCCTGGGTGTCAGATCAGACCTTGGTTTGATGCCCGTGTCAATGACGGACTGATCCCGGGACCCGCGGGCGTGAGAGCAGGGCCAGGATGTCCAGCGTGCTCCTTTAGCTCCTCCCGCCCAGAGGGCCAGGGGTGCTGCCGGGTCGGGCAGGCTGCACCGGGCGGGGGAACTATAAATGCGAGGCAGCGGGGAACTCCTAGGTTCTGGTCCCGGCTCTGCCGTCTGCGTGACCCCTGTACAATGAGGCGAATGGTACTGGGAGCCGCAGGGATTAGGCAGCTAAGAAGCGCTAAGGATTAGAGAGCCGAGCAGCAATGACTAGCCCGTGCGGAGATGACGCAGCTGGTAACACGTGCTGCAGAGACACCAGCTCATCACCTCCCCCTCGACCCCCCGGGGACCACTTTCAGCCACGTAGAAAATGAGGCTCAGAGAGCGGAAGTGACCTGTCCAAGATCACACATATCACTGGCAGAGCTGGGAATGGGACCCAGGAGTCCCGGCTCCCTTTGCCCTCCCCCACTCCAACCACTAGACCCCAGTCTCCTCCCAGAGTTGGGAATATACAGGGGGAGGGATAGCTCAGTGGTTTGAGCATTGGCCTGCTAAACCCAGGGTTGTGAGTTCAATCCTTGAGGGGGGCCACTTAGGGATCTGGGGCAAAATCAGTATTTGGTCCTGCTAGTGAAGGCAGGGGGCTGGACTCAATGACCTTTCATGGTCCCTTCCAGTTCAAGGAGATAGGATATCTCCATTTATTTATTTAATAGAACTCAGGAGTCCTGACTCCCTTCCCGCTCCTCCGCTCCAACCACTAGACAGGCCCCCATGCTTCTAATGCCAGCCCGGTTCTGCTTGTTATCCCCGCTCCTGACGACTCGGAGCGGGGTTGCTGGGGGCTTTTTATAGGTGGTTTTAATTGCCAGATAAAGGTCAGCTAGAGATTGCAGGGGGCTCTGGGTTTCTTGGAACTGGCTCGGGTCGGACATCTACACCTGTCGGGGCTGGGACACGGGCCAGGCAGGGGCACTGGGGGAGCCAATGGCTACTTATGGTGCAAACACACCCTACGCTCACACACACACACACACACACACACTCCCCCTCGACACACACACATATGCTGTACACCCCCCACCCTACACACACACACACACAGAGATTTCCCCAACATGCACACCCTCTCGACACACACACACACCCTCTCAACACACACACACATGCTGTACACCCCCACCCTACACACACACACACACACACATGCTGTACACCCCCACCCTACACACACACACACACACACACACACTTCCCCAAAACACACACCCTACACTCACACACTCCCACCTTCTAGACACACACACACATGCTGTACACTCCCACCCTACACACACACACACACACACAGAGACTTCCCCAACACACACACCCTACTCACACACACACATGCACACGCACACACTTCCCTTTGACACACATACACATGCTGTACACCCCACACCCTACACACACACACTTCCCCTCAACACACATACACATGATTTACACCCCCATACTTTTCACATACACACACACACTTCCCCAACACACACACACACACACACACACACTTCCAACAACACACATACACATGCTGTACACTCCCCATGCCCTGCACACACACACAGACTTTCCCCAACACACACACCCTACACACACGTGCACGCTTCCCCGACACTCAGATACACACTTTCCCCGACACACATACACATGCTGTACACTGTGCACACACACACACACAGAGTTCCCGTCCCTCTCCCCCCCCCCAGCACGCGCACTGTGTGAATGGAGCCCCGGGCCCTGCTGGACCTTCGGGACTCTGCTGGGAAGTGTCCCTCCAAGCCAGGGGGCAGCAGGCTCCCGTCCACCCCACGGCCCTTCCCCACTCACTTCCGGCAGCTCCCATAGGCGTCGCAGCGGCTGAGCGGCACGCGGCGCACGCAGCTGGAGAAGGCCACGTACAGGGCCTGGTGGGCCGTGTCCAGCTCCAGGCCCACAATCCGCCTGTCCTCCCTCTTCACGTTGCACCTGGGGCCGAGCACAGAGAGCCAGAGTCAAAACCACCCCCGCGCCCCCAGTCGCCGTGCCGACCTGAGCCCCTCCTCCCACGAGAGCACAGGGACAGCAGAAGCGCTCTCCCTGTTTGACAGGTGGGGAAACTGAGGCACGGAGAGGGGGCGGGGTGAAGACTCCCAGGCTAAGCAGCTAGTCAGTGGCACAGGGGAATGGAACCCAGGAGTCCGGACTCCCAGGTGCCTTTACTAATCACTCAGCCACATCCAGGAACAGAACCCTGGAGCCGTGATCCCCCTCCCCCTCGCTCTAACCACTAGACACCACTTCCCCAACACTGAGGCCAGAACCCAGGAGTCCTGCTCTAAGCCCTAGACCCCCCCGTCCCCAAAACTGAGGCCAGAACCCAGGAGTCCTGCTCTAATCCACTAGGTCCCACGCTCTCCAGTGAGCACTTTGCTTGGTCTCCATCTCTCCGTCCAGGCGCCCCTCCCGCAGGCTGTGCCGAGCGCCCGCTGCCCCGGCTGCACTCACTGGGCCGGGCTGTAGACGCTGATCTCCTCCAGGAGCAGGGTCTCCACGCTGGAGTTCTCCTTAGTCCCGGTAAGAACCTTCAGCACCTTCCCGTCCTCCGAGCCGAGGAACAGCACCGTGTAGTTCCTGTGGGGGCCGGCGGCCGTGTCGACTGCCAGCTGGGTCAGCTTGTACCTGCGGGGGGTGGCAGGGAGCGAGGTCAGGGCGTGAGCCTGGTGTGGCAGCCATTGGACACCCAGACACATGAACATGCATGTGCACCCACATGCCCACGTGGGTGCACATGAATGCACGCCCCTGCACATGCACTACTGCACAAGGGAAAAACATACAGACGCGCACATACCCGTGCACACGCGATCACACCTGCCAATGCACGCACACGTGCACGACGGGCACACACAGAACCGTATCTGGGCATGGCACACGCCCATGCAAACGCACACAAGGGCATGCACGCACGCACGCACGTGTCACGCATGTGAACACACCCATGTGAACACGTACACATCCGCGCACACCGGTACGCGTGCAGAGGCTGGTCTGTCGCCAGGGCCCAGGTGGTTTATTCTCACTGATCACTGGCCAAAGACCATTTGCTGGTAACAGTTTACTGGCCCCAAAGGATCCCAGCCCCAAGAGCGTGGGGTCGATTGCCTCTGTCACTGATGGCTGCCCCTCAATCCAAGGCAGAGCCTGGTGCGGTTCCCCTTCCCCGACTCCTGGCGGGCCGGAGGATCAGGCCGCGTGGGGCTGTTTAGGGTGAGCCAGAAGGGATCGGGCGGACGGGCTGAAATGGAGCCAGAGGACAATTTAGCAGGGAAAACGTCTGGACAGCATCAGCTCCCGGGGGAAGGGCTGGGAGCCTCCTCCCCAGGGTCCTTTCGCCCTAGGATGAGACAATGCCTTGGACCATCTTGATGGGGTAGATGGGAGCGAATGCGGTACAGGAGAACCTGGCACTGGGCTAGGTGGGACCTGGCCGGGCTTGATGGTTCCCCACCTTCCCAGGAGGCCTCGGCCCTTCCTCGGCTGCCCCTCCAGCCCCAGCGCCCACGTGGTACCTGCTGGTGGTCTTGGTGAACCAGGGCCTTCCCGTGGCGGCGGGCACGGCCTCGTCCAGCAGCGGGTAGGACTTGATGAAGGCCAGCGTCTCGTCGGGGAACTCATTGGAGGTTCTGTAGCCGGCTGCTTGGCCAACGCTGGCACAGCTGCCTGGCCTGCAGGGACGGAGAGAATCCAGATGTAGGCGTGGGCGGCCCAGGAGTGGCAGCTCATCTGGCTCTGGGTAGGGGGCAGTGCCCCCCCTTACTGTAGCTGCTCCACATGCCCAACTCCCAGTCCCATCCACAGTGTTGGACTGGGGAGCCCCCAAGGGAGCCGATGTTGCATTAACCAAACCTTGTGTCCATCTCTTTACATAGTTAAGGTGCCAGGGTACAACCCCCTAGACCCCACTTCCCGCCCCCTCCCCTGCTTGGAAGAGGCTCCCACCCCTGCTCCAACCACTAGGCCATACTCCCCTCCAAGAGCCGGGAGAAGAACCCAGGAGTCCTGGTTCCCAACCCTCTGCTCCGATGCCCAGGCCACAGTTCTAGCGCCTAGTCCCAAGGCTGGAAATAGAACCCAGGTCCTGGCGTCTGGCCCATTGCCTTGACGGGCAGGCCAGGGGCTGTGCCCAGTAACAGCCCACACACGTCCTGCTCCATTTCGGGGGGGGGGGGGCTGTTTACCTGGGTTTAGGCACCTTCTCCTCCGGGACTGGGGTCCAGGCGGAATCCGCGTTCTTCTGCTCCTTGAACTTCCCGGCGAACGCTCGCTCGATGTCGTCCAGGTAGAAGGCGCAGACGGCCGAGCCGGTGATGCTGGGGGGGGTGGGAGAGATGAGGGGAGGCATGAGTGGGGCTGCCAGTGGCTCCAACCTCCACCCAGCTGCTGCTGGGCCCAGCTCGGATTCACCCGCCCCCACCCCACCCCAGCCATCCCCCTCCCTGTCACCTTCAGGCCCCGACCTCCCGAGGGGGCTGCAGCAATCTAGGGGGCTAACGGGGTCAGAGGCTGCGACGCGAGGGGTGGGGGTCACAGTCAGTGTATGGGCACCTGTGGAGCTCACACTGAGCAAGGAGGGGCTAGGGCCCCATTGCCCCTCCCCCCAGCATCTCAGTCCATCTCAGACCCTCCACAAGTCCCCCTCCCCCGCATCCCGTTCCAATCCCTCCCCCACCCCAGGACTCTCCTCCAGCCCCCCCCAACCTGTCCTCCCTACGCCCCCTCCTGCCCAGCATCCCCTCACCCAGCCGGGGTCCTCCTCCCTTTATTCCCTGCCCCACACATTTACCTCTTCCCCCCCAGTCAGCACCCCCCCTTCACCCCCCATGACACCCCCTAGTCTCTTTCCATTCCCCCATAATGGGCACAATCCATTTCCCCCCCCAGGTCCCTCATCCTCCTGGGAAATGGCCCCCGCAGTGGAGGGGTGAGGCCTCTCCCAGGTGGGTCCTAGCGGCTGATCTCTGGTGCCATCTGGCACGTTGGCTTCCCACGCTTGGAGGCTTTATTACCTCCCTGACCCTGAGCACGGCTCTGAAACTTCATCAGGGGCCATTAAACCTCGAGGCTGCAGTCCACAGCTCCTGGGGTGTCCCGGAATCGCCCGCCCCGTCCTGGCTTCATCACCTCGCCCAGCTGGTGGTTCCTGGGCCCCCATTTCCCTTTGGCCCTGTGCCACGTGTGGGCTAAAATCCCCCCCCCCCCCGCACACCCACGACCCCCCAGACATCCTCACCGCACAAGGCTGGGGCCATTCGTAAGCGACCCTGTCAAATCCGAGGGACGGCTTGAGCGCATTTCGGCTGCTCAGAAAGGCAGTGGTGGCTAAGGGATGAAATACACCAGGCGGGCCGTATTTCTCTCCACTAGCCACCCTGCGGGAATGGCAGAGGCTGGTCGTTTGCCTGTTCTCAGCTAATCAACCCTATTCCAAGCCAGGCTCCCGCCGGAAATGCTCCAGGGGCCTCTGGCACAGTTCTTCCCTCGCAGCCCCTGGTTTTAGACCAACGAACAGCTCCCCACCCCAGGTAACGGGCAAAGGAAATCCTCGGGGTCATGCAAATGCCAGTGTGTTCTTGTAGGGTCTTCTGTGAGCACTAGGGCTGTGCATGCTGGTTTGTTATTGTAGGGTCTCTCAGGGTGCTGGACTGTGCACACTGGTTTGTTATTGTAGCATCTCTCAGGACAGCTGGGGCTGCACATTTGCCTTTGGTATTGTAGAGTCTTTTAGGGGTGCATACAGGTTTGTTATTTTCTTATGGTCTCTCCTGTGCCCTGGAGCTGTGCAAGCTACTTTGTTATTGTAGGGTCTCTGGGCTGCGCACACTGGTTTGTTATTGT